ATGGTCAGTGTCCTTTATTGGCTGTTTCTTATGTAATTTTAATTCAAAATAAACAATATACCAAAGTGGTATATTTAGGGGCAGCCTGTGCCGACCCCCCATCACCTGCTCTAAGTCAGCATTGAGGAGTGGCGCAAAGGAGCCAGATTCCAGAGAGATCGCTCAGGAAGAACCAATAGGAGTTTGTGATTGAGTGGCTGTTGAGAATGAGGAAGAGGGAAGGGTCGAGATGGCCTCCAGACACAGGGGCAAGGAGGTAGCTGCCCGCTTACAGTAGCCGGTCACTCCATTCCAGGGGATGGACTTCTCTGAGGGTGTAGAGAATAGGAACAGATGCACCTAGAGCTCCAGTGAAAGGGCCCTAATTCTTTTTTGCCTCCTGTTAAAACACAAAATTCAACCGACTGAACTTATTTCTGGGGGCACCTGGGGGGCTCAGGGTGTGATCCCAGGATCCTGGGATCGAGTCTCGCATCTGGCTCCCTGCATGGAGCCTGCTTCTCCCTGTGCCTATGTCTCAGCCTGTCTCTCTCTCTGCATCTCTCATGAATAAATTAAATAAAATATTTTAAAAATTTTAAAAATAAAGGCAGAAAGCAGGTGTGACAGGGAAGTCATAAAAGAAAGGACTGTTTCAGGCAAGGTAAAGGGCAGAGGGAAGGACAGGGGTCAATCACACAGATTACCTCACTAAGCTGGTGGGGTCATTCCAGACTGACTGAGTAAAGGTCACATTCCCAGGAGGACCTGAAACTACAATTAAGTCTTGGTTTGCTGTCTCTGGGGCAAGTGGCTCCATTTTGGACCTGTCATGCCATTTTAATCCTCCTGGTAGGGGACGTGGCTCTGTACTGGGCAGCTGTGTCCTCTAAGGAACCTCACGGTCTGTGTGCAGTTGTTCAGGAAACCAGGCTTTAGAAAAGGAGGTTTCAGGGTCCGTTCTTTCCGCTGTGGATTCTAATGGCATATCTGCATTTCTGAAAATGAGACCTAACACTGTTAGATTCCCAGTACACCTCATTCTAGACCTTTTTTTTTTTTAAGATTTTATTTATTTATTCATGAGAGACACAGAGAGAGGCAGAGACACAGGCAGAGAAAGAAGCAGGCTCCATGCAGGGAGCCCAATGCGGGACTCGATCTTGGGTCTCCAGGATCAGGCCCTGGGCCACAGGCAGGCGCTCAACCGCTGAGCGCCCCAGGGATCCCTAGAACAGACTGACTTAATTAAGCACATGGAGTTCAGGGAACATTGCGTCCATTTTCTCTGAAAATATTTCATGTCTCTCTTTCGGATCCCAGGCCCTCTGTGTTCTCCTCCGTCAAGATGGTGCTGGCAGGGGAGGCAGTGCCATTCAGGCTGTCCTGGGGCTTCAGGCTGGGTCATGAAATCCAAGTACCCTGGCTGCTGAGAGCTGTCTGTCCCCAAGTTTGGAAGACAGGAGTGGGCTGAGGGCCAAGGTAATGAGCAGGCTGTGTGCCTGGAAACCTGAGAACTAATTTTAGGTTTAACAGCCACATTGGAGAATGCACCTTTCGGAAGCTGCAAAGCTGAAATTGTAAGACGTTGATAGGGTTTAGATCATCCTTGAGACAAACAACCTGCTAGATTTGGATTAACCAGCTGGATTTTTTTTTCCATCAGTGTTTCTCACAGAAATCAGTATGAAATCAGACAGATGCGGGAATGGCATGTAGTGGCCGAGTGACAGACAGCAGGACCTGCATCTCTGGGCTGGACTGCCCTCCCCACCCCCCAACCACACTGAAACCTGACCAGCTCTTTAGCTGGGATGACAAAGGGACATGCAGAAGCTTCTAATTTATCAAGATGGGAGAATAGGTGTGTCACCACCCTTGGCTCTATTAAAATTGTCAGTTTTTGTCTGTGTGATCTTACTGGTTCACTTCTGCTCGTCAGCCTTTGCACGGCTCAGGATGGGCTAATTTGCATTGCTCTTCTGCTACTTTGCATCTTCTTAGGATCCAAGCTACTCCATTTGGAGCTCACTATGGGGGAATTGAGTCCACAAAAGGTTTGTGTGGAACTCAACAGATTGAGTCACACTCAATAGCAATGTCAAGGAAGAACTAGAACAAATGTAGAAGTAATGTTTTGGATTTCTGTGGTGTGTGTGTGTGTGTGTGTGTGTGTGTGTGTGTGCGCGCGCACAGGGAGTGAGGGAAGCATGTTTGGTAGATATATTTACCACAGGAAAAGTGTCCAGGAGTGGCTTTCTCTCTGTTGATTATGCTTTTAGTGAAGTGGCTAATAACCAGGATAGAATAAAAGAACGTTTGGAAATCTTCTCTTTTCTGTTTCTGTGTCCCGTAACCACAGTAACAAGACTTTTTAGGGTTTTGTAAGAAAGCAAATCATGAGTGAATCGTTAATAAATATTGCAGGTGGAGTAGTTTGACTGTCACGGTGCACTACAGTTTTCAGTGTGCAAATGAATATGTCTTTAGATGTCCTTTTGTACAAAAACCCATTAAGCCTCAGTCTCTAGGGTGACCCTAGGCATGAAGTTTTTCGTTCTTGACCTCACAGGAGAGGACTGAGTGACATCTTATCAATATCAGGGGAGGGAGAGCCCTCTAGTGGAAAGTCATCAGGGCTGACAGTGCAGCAGGAAAGTAAAGTGAGAAGTCAACGGAGTGTTCAGTATAGTCCAGCAAATTGAACTGCAGCACGTAGATGTGATGTGATTCGCCATATCCTCCTGCTGATTTGGAAGGTGTTTATCAACAAATCTGTCCTGTGGATTTGTCAAGAACCCGTTGAAGCCCTTGCTACTTAGGTACTCAAATTAACATTATCCCAAGGACATACAACCTTCTCCATAGCCCTCATCTGAAAAGCTTGGGATGGATGGGCAAGATTGGGCAGTAGGGGATATGTTTCTGTAGTAAATTAAAGAATCAAGTTAAAATTAGGTGAGATGACGTGCCTCCCACCCCAGCAATATTAGCAATAAGGTTTGTTCATGGGTCCAGCTTCTTCTTTAAACAGAAGAACACACTATTCTAACCCTTGCCTTCCCCAAGGCTATCATCTGAGTTGGACCATGACTATCATTATAATTCACAGTGTGACTTATCTTGTAGCTAGGAAGAAAGCTACAAAGCATTCTCTCCCTCCTAATCCCTGGCCATGATACATGTCTGAGATTGTAATGCTAGATTTTTGCAAAAATTTGCATATCCTCTTGACTGGGGTCATGATATTTCTGTTGGCCCTTTATTTTGTCATTAACTACTTACAAATAAAATGAGAGGAGACTTTAAAAATCACAAAACTTTGCAGTTTAAAATGATTTATTGATACATAATAGCGTATATAGAGAGACTTTTAAAAAGCATGTTGTGGGGATCCCTGGGTGGCGCAGCGGTTTGGCGCCTGCCTTTGGCCCAGGGCGCGATCCTGGAGACCCGGGATCGAATCCCACGTCGGGCTCCCGGTGCATGGAGCCTGCTTCTCCCTCTGCCTGTGTCTCTGCCTCTCTCTCTCTCTGTGTGTGACTATCATAAATAAATAAAAATTTTAAAAAAAGCATGTTGTGTGAGAAATTCCCTGTTGTATATGTGCATTAATAATGCCTTCTAAAAAACATGCATCATTAGGGTTGGGGCCCTTTGCTTATCGCTCTCTTACTGACCATGACCCACGAGCCCCTCTCAAGGGTTCAAAAAGCATGTTTCCAGGCATCAAGAATCCAACTTTGAAATTTATGCCCTTCAAAGCCTGTGGAAGATGCGTTACCAGCGCTGTAGAGTCAGCCGGTGAAAATGCGCTCTCAGCACATTTTCACTAAAATCACAATTACCCTTGTTTCTAGTCTGTGACACTGGAGAGTCTCTGACTGTATAGTCAACAAAGATGAATTGTCCTTTTCTGAACAGGAAGCGACTCTAGCAAGGATTTGTAAATCCTGTCTATACTTCAGGACCATCTTAAAGTCCCATATCTGTCTTGCAGCCTGACAAACATGGCCATTTATGAACTCTTGGTGGCCTTGCTCTCTGTGGGACCTATGTCTTGGGCTGCATTATATAGTGGCTTAAATTCCATTCATGTGTGTCCCGTCTCCCTGGCACACACACATGCCCTTGAAGGCATGGCCAGGGTACCGTATATATCCTTGGTCTAGCCCACTCGTTCCTTCCTCTGGTAAATAGTCACAGGCCTATCTGCAGCCGGGTCCTTTTATACTCTCTGGAAATACATTTGTGAACAAAAGGAACAAGGTCTTTTTTCTGACAGAGTCATGTGGGAGTGGTGAACCTTAAACTCATAACCACAAATGGAAATTTTCCACAAGGAAAGATAAATATAAATTTATGCAAGGTGGTAGAAACTGCGGAGGAAGAAGGAATATGGTACCCTGAGAGAGAACACTGGGGGGCCTTATTTAGACTGGGGGGTCAGAAAAGGAGGAAGTGGTGCTATTTCAGCTGAAAACCAAAGACACATGGTATCTCCTATACAGCAGGTGCTAAGAAGTATTTCTGGCTTTGAGAAATGTTTAACCAGGTCTCCGTGCACATGGTATGAACCTTCTGTGTTTCCTCCTGGCTGTGTCTTCCAGTGCAACCCTCCCTCTCCCCTTATTTGCCACCAACCTCCATATGTTTTTTTCTGATGCTCCCTGGTTCATCGAACCTACAGAGACCCCTGCCATGTCAGCTCAAGCTACAATGGAAGTGTTCAAAAACAAAATTCAACTGAGTAAATTTTAAAGATCTGATTTTATTCAGGGATTCATGAAATCAAGCAGCATCCCATCTAGCAGATAGAAAAGAGCCCCAAGGAGCTGTACAAATTGAAAGACTGTTAAGGGCAGAAGGGAGTGGAAGAGACAAGGAAAACAGTCCTAGAAACTGTCCTAGAAAACAGTAGATTATGATATTATATGTATATTAATATTATGATATTATATGTTATTATAATATCATATGTTATATGATATTATAATCAAATGTCTCTTATTCCCTTACAGGTAGGCACAGACACTTCCAGCCTGAGAAAGGCGGACCCCAAAGGTCGGAGTGCGTTGTTGGCTGATATCCAGCAAGGAACTCGCCTACGAAAAGTCACACAGATCAATGACCGCAGTGCCCCACAAATCGAGAGTAAGTGAGCAGCTGGGCCAGGCCTGCTGTGAGTCAAGGGCAGGCCACGTGAGGCTCAGCCAGGCCACCCCTGGCTTGCTCAGGGCAAGGGCCCCACTTGTTACCCAGGTGCACTGCACCTTGGGCCATCGCAGACTTGCACGATGTACAAGCCACAAGGGTGAGAGAATCAGAGCTCCCTTTCCAGATCGACAGATGGTTTCTAGGATATCTTCTACCACTGTTCAAATGCTAAACAAACAAATAAGCAAAAACGTGAGGGGATAACTTTTTTAAATTGCAATAAAATACACATAATATAAAATTAGTGTCCGATTCAGTGGCATTTGCACCTTCACAATGTGGTTGCAACCATCACCTCTGTCTAACTTCAGAACATTTTCATCACCCCAAAAGGAAACCCCAGAGCCATTAGGGGTCACTCCCCATTCCTCCCTTCTCCCAGTCCCTGGCAGCTAAATCTATCTTCCAACTCTATGGATTTGCCACTTTGAGATATTCAGGTGAGTGGAACCATACACTATGTGGCCTTTTTGTGACTGGCTCCTTCATTTAGCATAATGTTTTCAAAGTTCATCCATGCTGTAGTATGTGCCAGGTCTTTGCTCCTTTTTATTGCTGGCTAATATTCCATCACCCAGGTACTCCACTCTGTGTTTATCCACGGTGTGATACCCTCTACAGATCACTTACCCTGCATCCACCTAGTCCTCAAACTCAATGAGAGAAAAATCAAAGTCTCAACATTAAAGTATGCCTAGGTTTGGTGTTCATGAGGAAAAAAGATGTATTCAGAATTCTCTCGTAGAATCATATGACTGCAGCTTTCTATATACAGAGTACGAGAGGCCCCATGCTTGGGTCCCATGACCCAGGCTGAGTCCCAAGTCTGCTACTCGGCACATCTGGGAATTTCTCTGAGGTTCAGTCCGCTCATCTACAAAATGTGGGCGGTAATAATATTTTTTGTCAAGATTGCTGAAGGTTGAAATAATCTATGCAGAACAATTTATCAACATCATCTCTTATTATGTCTTCATATAGTTTTCAATGATGCGCATGATGCTAATTCTCAAAGATAGTCCTAAAAATAGAGTAGTATCTAGCATCCATAATTATATAGTAAATACACAAGGATAGATAAATTACCTTAAGAAATATTTTCAAAAATTGCAATAAAAATGAGTTTCCAGCTAAACCCGCTAACTGGTTAAGCCCAATTACCAGATAAACCCATTTGATTGGAATATTCACTCCCTCATCACTCCACTGGATAGGTAATGTATAGTAATAGTTGGAATCATCTATAAACACATTCATCCACCAGTGGGCACTGTGCCCTGATTCCTCCGTGCAAGTTAGCTTCAGGCTGTGAGCATTTCTTGCTAAGCCAAATGTCTTCTCATTGTATGGAGTTAGTCCATCACACACATCTGGAAGGACGGAATTTGTGACACTTCTCCCCAGGGGCTTACGAGCTTTCTCTTCTATAGAAGAAAAGATGCAGAGAAGGGTGCAGGGCCCAGGGAGTAAGAGCTGGGGAGACAGAGAAGGAAGAGGCCAAAGCACAAATCATCACAGACCTTCACTTCCTGCTGGCAGTTTTGGGCCAGACTCTGGAGACAAGAAGTTAAAATTACTGACTAAACTGAATCTGTGGATTTTCTCTGTCTGGTCCTCCCACAATAACAATCGAGTTGAAAATAGGCCCAGTGTGACACCTACAGTGTTTGGGTGTTCTCCCATTTAAAAGGTGCTGTCAATTTCCCCACCGGCATCCATGGAATGGCAGCATTTAGATCCCTTTGTTTCGGTCCCTTTTCAGGGAGCTCAGCTACCGATGGTCAGGTCCTTGGTAGGTCCAGAGAGAGTAGCAGACAGGCGTGAGCACACGGCTCTGTGGGGTATCCCTGCAGAGGGGTTTGGGAACAATGCCTACTAGAAGGGTAATGCTGGAATGGGAGAACGGGAAGACTGGCCCTGGAGGTGTTGGACCACGGTCCCAGGCTGGGAACGAGCAGCTCAGCTCTGCTCACAAGTCCTCATCTATGTGCCTTTTCTCTACAAAGGTTCTAAAGGAACCAACAAAGAAGGAGGGGGATCTGCAAACTCTCGAGGTGGAAGCACACCGCCAGCCCTGGGAGATCTGTTTGCTGGTGGCTTTCCTGTGTTGAGACCAGCCGGCCAGAGGGATTTGGCAGGTAAGAGAAAATTCAGACTGGCTACCTTGTGGTCTTTTTCTCTTTAACATGTAGAACCAACTGGGCAAGCCTCCTGTGCCCTGAGGATTGTGACATGTTTTTAGTGAAAAGTGTTTTTCACTGTGTTTTTAGTGCAAAGTTGTATGTAGCAGGAGATCATGGATTTGGGAGCATGCACTGGAAGTATTCAAAGCATTGTTCCCAAGGGATCTTGCAAATCATCATCCTGTGTCAATCATCCCATTGTAATAATTGAAGAATGACTTGCCATAGCATGTAGTGTTTAACAATGGTGTGATGGGGGCCCAGACTGCAAAGTATAGACAAAAGATATAAATCACATTAGAAAAACCTTGGTGACTCCACTGTAATGTGTCCGTCATTGTTATCAGTTAGGTATTGCTGTGTAACAAAATATCCTAAAACTTAGAGACCTTAAACAACCATGTATCTAGCTTACAGTCCTGTGGTTGGCAATTTAGGGTGGTCTTGGCTGGGCTCCCTCTGGTACATACAGCTTGGGTAAGTGGCTTTTGCTAATCTTTTTTCTTTAAGATTTTATTTTATTTATTCATGAAAGACAGAGAGAGAGAGAGGCAGACACATAGGCAGAGGGAGAGGGAGAAGCAGGCTCCCTCCAGGGAGCTAGATCGGGACTCAATCCTAGGACCCGGGGATCATGACCTGAGCCAAAGACAAATGCTTAACCACTGAGCCACCCAGGTGCCCCAGGTCTTTTGCTAATCTTATAGTTTCTATATCTTTGGTGCCTCAGCTGAAATCACTGGCCTGACAGATCCACATGGTCTCTCGGTGTCTAGCCAACTATTTGGGATTCGTTTTCCTGTGGTGGCCAACAGAGAGGACAGAAGTATAGAGATGACAAAAGGATATGAAGTGTCCTAAGGCTTAGTCTTGCAATTGGCACAGTGTTACTTCCTACTGCATCCTCTTGTCCATAGCAAGCCACAGGGCCAGTCAGAAAACAAGGATGGGGAAAGAGACTTCACCTCTTGATGAGAGGATCTGCAAAATCATATTTCAGAGATTATGGAATCAGGGATATGTGGATAATCAAGGCCATTTCTGCAGCCAGTCTACTGCAGTCACTTATGTGTTAGTGGGTATCAGATATTTTGAAAGCCTTGCCTTAAAGTTGGGCAAATACATACTTATTGTGTGTAATAGAAGTGTTTTTCCTGTTATTGTTCTCTTTAGCCAGCAAGCTGAAATAAACTCCAATAATTTCATTAATCAGGGAATATAAAAAAAAATCAGGGAATATCAAGTCCCAAACATTGCTGGTATAGAATTTTCTACCATGTGGCTTTGCTAACCTTTTTGGTGGGCTCTGTGGCTGTACGACATAATGGAGTGCATTTGCTGCTGTCGCCTACTGATAAAGTCCAGCAAAGATAAGGGTCCTAGGATGCTTTGAGATCCAGTGTGAACCTTCTCAGAGGCCATTTCATTTCCTCTTTTTTTGCTACGGGTTTGTCACTTTTCAGTGCTGCCTTCTTTTTTGAAATTCCTGAGTGCTATCAAATAAGCATCTTGTGGGATGAAAAACGTCTACTAGTTTCTCCTCACAGAAGTAAAGATAGGAGAAATAGCCCCCAGTCAGTTTTCACAGGGAGCAGCCAAAGGAAGCCAGCCATTCCTACCTATCAACAGTAGGATACAAACGTCCGATGCTTGAGCCACCCTGTGAAGACAAGGATTAATATCTGCAGAGGAGATGAAAATCCATAGTGTAGTGACTGATGATGCCATCTACAGGGCTGAAACTCAGGAGGGAGCCAATGAATAGATGCATGGATTGGGTGCCATGTTAGAGTAAGACAGACCATTGGCTCTCCTCTCTCAGAACCCTTCCATCAGCCCCTGGTCATTCAGCCAAAAGGACTTTGGCCTTTGCTACCTCTCTCATGTTGCTGCTCACCACTCTTGCCAGCACACACCCTCCCTCCCAGCCACACTGTCCTCTTTGCTGTTCTTGCACACACCAGGCATGTTGCTGCCATCGGGCGCTTGCACTGACTGCTCCCCTGACCGGAAACACTCTTCCTCAGGTGTCCATGTGGCTCATTCTCTCCCTTCCTTCAGGTCTCTGCTCAGATGGCACCTCATCAACCTATCAGTGAGGCTTTATTCATCAACTCATATAAAATGTCAGCTCCACCCCCTTAGCCCATAGCCCCTCTACCTTGATTTAGTTTTCTTGTATTCCTTGTCACCATCTGACATATTATATTTACTGGTTTATTTGTTTATTTCTGTCTTCTCTCTCTAAAGTAAGCTCTGTGAAGACAGGAACTATGTTTTTTTTCACTGCCTGAAAAATGCCTGAGGCATAGTAGGTGCTCAGTAAGTATTTGTTGAATGGAATGTATAAGTGGGTAGCATGGTTACTTAGAGCCATTAGGCCCAGAAAACACAAAAGCCTAGTGCTCACGGTACTTTTGGCAACCCGTTAAAATGTTTCGGTATCTTTTTAAATCAGAAAAAAAAAAAAAAAAAAAACATGAGCCTTTAGAGTCAAAGATTATATTTGTCATTGTAGCAATGCACCCATAAAGTGTCTTCAAAAGTCATAATGTGGCCCTGGCTTAGAGCTCTGAAGGGGTGATCATTGAAATAAGATGGAGGACGCCTGTGTGGCTCAGTGGTTGAGCATCTGCCTGCAGCTCAGGTCATGAGCCCAGGGTCCTGGAATTAAGTCTCACATCAGGCTCCCTCCTCAGCAGGGAGCCTGCTTCTCTACTCTCCCTCCCCTTCCTCCTCTGCCCCTCCCCCAGTTCAGAATTCTCTCCCTCTCTGTGTCTCTCTCTCAAATAAATAAATAAAATCTTTTTAAAAATTAAAAAGTAAAATAAATAAATAAATAATAAATAAATAAATAATAAGCTAGGATGAGAGTAAACACCACTGAGTTGGGGTTCTATGGAATATGTAATGAGACTTCCATACAGTCTAGGGTCTTCTGGAAACATACACAGATTGAAGGAAGAAGACGTATTTCCTCTTTTGATAACCCCCAGGCTCTTGGTGCACTCAGGCTGGGCTTTCCCTACTTGCTTTATGTCTCCTTTTGTGTTTCTGTTTGGATTTAGGGTGAATCCAATGATTCAGGAGGAGGTGAATGAAGCCTCCTCCTTCATTCCCTTGGCTCCCTCCGCTGGCCCCATGCTACCTGGGTTCCTGGCCTGCACTTAACACTGTTAGTTCCTCTGCCCCGTGGGTCTTGCTTTAAGTGCAAGCCGCCGGCTCCCTGGAGTGGGCATGAACAAAGCCAGATGAGGATTTGTGCCTATCTCATCTCTGCTCTTCATGTCACAATAAAAATAGGTTTGCTCACTTCTCATATGCTTGGCTGCTTAGTAAACAGAAGCTTCTGTACTTTGAACTGACTCTTTCAAAGAGATTTTGAATCTTGGGTACAGGGTGTCCCATAAAAGGTCTACATTTAGTCACAGAAAAGGTCTACATTGGTTACTCAGGGGCTGATTCCGCTCCTCAAACTTGTTATCCCTCTAAAGTTCATGTTCAAGTAGACATAGAAGGAGGCCTCAGCCTGTTAGGGACTGCCTTAGTAGTCCATCTTCATGTCTGTGTACTATGGAAACAGACTTGAGACCTTGGAGGCAGGAATCCCTGAGCCTGACACCTGCCCTGGACCTCACGTAAAATGTCTAACGTTAGAGTTGTAGGCGGTAGATCCTGTTCTTAAAAAGGCCAAGTGGGGCCTTCACTTCTGGTCACGGTCAGCCAGCTGTTATGGCATTGCTTGCCTTAGACCCCAAGGGGATCGAATCAGACAGGGTGGATGCATCGGTACAAAGACATCTCTTCTGGAACTGCCCCAAAGAAAATCCTCAACAGAGGAATAGTGACATCACCACCCTGTCTCAAGAGCAGTCATTTCAGCGCTGAGACTTGCAATGAGTAGTGCTGCCCAGTAACTGTCACACCATAGCCAGAGGAGGGTCATCCCTTTGGAAAGCTAGATGCCACCATCCTGCCCACTGAGTGTCAGCCCTAGTGTCACCCCCACCACGCCTTACTTTGATTGGCCTGGCTTTTGGCATCAAGTACATTGCGGTATGATCTTGTACCTGTTTGGGTAAACACAACTAGAGACTCATCAGCTGAAAAGTTCAGAACCACCACCAGATGCTGGGGTTTATAATCTGATTTGAAAGCTCTGCTTTTTTATTCTGCAACACCCACGAATCTGTAGTTATGAGAAGCAACCATCTTTTCAAATGTTCTCCACATGTTTTCATAGGGGTTATAAAATATAAAGGTACGAGAATATAGGAAAAGACATATTCCCCAGAATTCCATTAAGGAGAACATTTATTTGAAAAGAATATTTTAACATGCCTCCTGAGTGGACCGTGATGCTCCAAGGACACATTTAAGCAGTGATTGCAGAACTTCCATGCTTTAGTAAATGGGGAGAGGACCCTTTTTCTCCATAGTGAGAGAGGAACAAAAGGAGAAGAGGTAGCAGTATAGTGGGCATTGTGCACAGAGTGCTGGGGCCCCTACTAGGGAGCACCTCCACCCAGTCTTCCATGAAGTACACCAAGCACACATCACTGTGAGGAGTGTGTGCTGTTGTTGAACTCCAAAGAAGCACTGGGTTTTAAGTTGGGGTTCATGGATCTATGGGTGAGGAAGCCAGGAGACCAAGAGATAGAGAGCCTGTTAGAAACGGGCAGATCTTTCAGAAAAGAGGATTTGAACTTCCAGAGACCATGGAACTGGGAGGTTCAGGGTCATTGGACATGATCCTCAAGGCAAGGTGTCTTCCCACTGACTTCTGAGTTACCTTAGATATTCAAGGAATAAGCTTGTGATTTTGTTTCTGCAGAAACAAAGCCCTTTATTCACAAAATTCTGGAAATGAGGAAAACCTCACTAGGAAGGAGCTTCTGCTGGGTACACCTGAGGATTCAAACTGGGGTGTGAAGGCTGGGTACCCAACTGGGTTGACCTAGTGGGTAATGGTGAATGGGTGTGAGGGTGGTCTTGAAATACGGAGAGGTGAAGGAGGTCAGCATGGCCCAGGGCCCTGGGCTGGGAGACTCCGATGCCCTTGGCAATTGAGGGCAGAGGTGAGATGGAACAGGAAAGCTGGTTCTGCACCGCAGGCTGGTGGCCTGACCTGGGCTTATCTCAGAGAAGGACAGCACAGTAATGCTGGCAAGGCCCCTGGGGCCCGGCCGGCTGGCACCCTTGTGACAGCTTCTGGGTGAACCTGCAGGAGAGAGCATCCACCATGCAGGTCGCTGACGTCATGCTGGCTGTCATCACTGCCCGCAAACTTGGGTTTCTCCTTCTTCTGTCTCTGAGCTAACTCAGAACTTGTTTCACTTCCAGGTGGCAAGACAGGGCAGGCCCCTGGCTCCCGCGCACCTTCTCCCCGGCTTCCCATCAAAACTCTCGGGGGCCCACCTAACCCCCCTGCATCTCCCAGGCTAGGCAATGCCTCTGAGGCTCATGGCGCTGCCAGGACAGTCCCTCCTCGCCCCAGCATGCCTGCCCCCCCTCCTCCCACCCCACCCCCACCCCCACCACCTCCCCCCCTCCCCCCGCCCCTGCCCCCGTCCTCCCCCAGCAAAGCTCCGCTGGTGTCCCCACCTGGCCCGCTCACCAAAGGGAACCCCCCTGGGGTTGCACCCCCTCTCCCCTCCGCACCTCCCCCTCCCCCTCCTCCCCCACCTCCTCTCCCAACCCCACTCCCACCCACCCTGGCCTCCGTTCTCGGTGACAGAGCAGCAAAGCCTCAGCTAGCCCCCTTGCACCTGCCGCCCATGCCACCACCCCTCCCTCTTCTCCCACCCTGTGGGTATCCTGGGCTCAGTGCAGAAGCTGCCAGCCCTGCCCAAGATGTTCGGGAGCCTCCTGCCCCACCACCTCCCCCACCTCCACCCCCTCTTTATGCCTCCTGTACCCCGAGGTCCTCTGTGCCTGCGCCTCCTTTGCCAGGAGCTAACAACAGTGGTGAAGCCCCACTCCTGCTGCCCCCCAAGTCTCCCAGCTTCCAGGCCCAGCCACCCAAGTCCGGCACGCAGGCCTTGCCGGTACCACCAGCCCCTCCGGGATCCCAGATGTTCCTGCAGAAGAAGAGGCCCGGCCGAGGCCCAGGTAAGCACCACTCTCCTGGTCCAGGGTGGCCGTATCAGAGGATCAGTCAACCCTCGCCAGTAGTTATGAAGTTGCTAGAGACACAACCAGAGGCCTACTCCCATGAGCCACTGGGGAATACCTTGAGATGTCTTAACTCCTGGATTTTGTTTTCAAACAGAGCTCTCAGTGCCCCTCATGAAGCACAATAAAACTTGTTGTATGGGACTTTATGTTGTATTCATGTTAGAGACAGGAAAGCAAGGGGGAGGGAGGTTGAAAGACTTGTCCAAGAGCATACAGACCACAAGCCAGCCATTCTGGCTTTGATCACCTTACGATTACTAGCTATGTGACGCTGGGCAATCACTTGGCCTCTCTGTGCTTCCTTCTCATCTGCAGAATAGAGAAAGCAATAGTTCCCACCTCTTCTGATAGTTGGAGCAGGGCCTGGCAACACTGAGCTCTAGAGAAGGGTTAATTATTCTTACTCTCAACATGCATACACTCAACTCTTCCTGGGGATGCAGTTTGTTTCCAGAACCAGGTCTCTGGTGTGATTTTTGCCTCAGTTACTACCGTCTGGCTCCCAGCCACAATCTGCACTGGCCCTCAGCAGATTGGATTAGCATTCTGTCTTCTTTTTGGCAGGTTTTCGTGCTGATTCAAGAAAACTAAGGGTCTGTATTTCAAGCCAAATATTAAAAATAATTCTTTCACATACCTACCAGAGAGGATTTTGGGTGGGCATGCAGGCCCGTAACTGATTTCTACATAGTGGGAAGGCTTCATTCACCTCTGGTGTCCTTCTGAATGGAAAGTCTACCCACCTACACATACGTCCACACACACACATCCACACACGCCCACAAACACCACATCCACACATGCACACACATCCCAACACGCGCGCACACGCGCACACAAGCACACAAATTCCTTGTTCTTTAAGAATATCTTTTGATGCAGAAGGTTTCTTAAATGTAGTTCCTCAAATTGAAAATAATACAAGCTCACTGTAGAGCAAATAGAAAGAAGTTGAAATCACGTACAATAACATCACCCAGAAATCACAGGGTATATTTCCTTTCATTTTTTTCAAAAATATGTACATATTTACAAAGTTAATACTATTTTGAATATCTAATTTTCTATGCTGTTTTAGTTTAATATTACATTATAGGCAGTCTCCTCCAATTGTTAAAGTTCACGTATAAGCATATTAATATGATCATCAGTATTTACCAGATTTCTGGTATTAAATTGATTCTATTTTTTGTTATTGTGAATAATAATGCAGGAAACACTTCTATAGCAATTGTCTTCCACCTTTTGGGTATTTTGAAAAGATAGGTTCCTAAAAAGGCATTTCTGAGACAAAGGGTGAGAATATTTTTAAGGCTCTCAGTCACAAAAGGTAAAGGTTCGAGGGATTCTCTTTTCAACTGATGGGTCGCCATAAGGGCCAGCATTTGTCCCAATGAGCCAGAAGTGTTCAATGGGGTGGTGAAAGAAACAGTGCCTTAGATTCAGAGAGACTTGAGTGCAACCAGGCCTCTCCACTCACTCCTGGGTAACCTCATGCCCAGTCTTTAAATGGTTCTTGAAACTTGTTTTTTTTTTTTTTCCTTTTTTTGGCAAATGGGAATCATGATAAGACCTTTCACACAGGATTATTATGAATATTCAGTGAGAAAATTTGTGCCTGAGGTTCTTTGCATGGAGCTGGGGCTCAGCCATGTTATTCCCTTACCATATGGAGGGACAGCTTTTCCTCCAGAAGAGAGGTCAGCAGCCACGGTCACCCCTTCCCCCCTTGAGTTTGCTTCTTGGGAATAAGTCAATCCTAGTGGCTCCTGATTCCGAGGAGGGGAAGACCGGAGTGGTGAACTCAAGGCCAGCAACAGATGCTTGCCCGGCCTCTCTCCTTGTGTCTTTGGGTGTGAAACTTAATTTTCCCTGAACAAAATGAGGGCGATTTCTGCCTCAGGAACAACTGCGGCGGTGGGGTGGGGGGCAGAGAAAGAGGTTGTTAGTGATGGACGTGTTGTCACAGAGAACAGTGGTGCGGTTGTCATCGTTTCAGGAAGTCAAGTGTCCATGCACTGACGTGCCAGGACAGCTGGCTATCGATTGCCAAATGAGTCATTCAAAAAAGTCTTGGCAAAGTAGAGAGAGCCTCCCACAGACCCCATCAAGAGTTTGATGGTGTGGGTGGGACTCGCGTTGGGCCCTGGTGGGCGGGGTGGATTTAGGTGGAGACTGGAGGGAGAAAAGAGGCTCTGCAATGCAGGGGGACCCATGTAGGGAGAATCCTGGGCTCAGGAGCTCGTCAGTCTCACCTCCCTCTGCGCCTCACCTGCAGACAGCCCTTCTCTTCCTTCAGATGCGGCAACGGCCCACCATCTTGGAGCTGTGCCATCTGATCTGAAGGCTGCTGTCATCATTCATAATGTCACAGCAGCTAACATTTACTGAACCCTACTGCATGCCACTTGAATTTACTCATTCAACCCTCTTGACACCCCTAGGAGGTGCATGTACCGTGATCCCCATTTTACAGATGAGGAAACAGAGGCACAAAGAGGTTGTGTTGTTATCCCAGCAGGGGAGCTGGAAGTCAGTCCCAAGCAGCTCAGCCCCAGAGGCAGCCCTTTTATTCACCATGCCATATGACATCCAGAGACCTCAGTACCTCACTTCTCACAGGAGGTTACATAGCATCTACTGTCCCCATTCCTCTATCTGAATCCACTGGCATCTTTCCTGTTAAGGGACCAGTGGCGGAAAACTAAATCCACCCCCAGCACCCCCTGCAAGATCACCCACCACGGAGCTTTCAAGCAGAAGCCAGCAGGCCTGGACCCCAACCCAGCAGCCCGGAGGTCAGCTGCGGAACGGAAACCTGCATATCATCGGTAAGCGGGCCCACCTTCTGTGCCGGCTTCCAGGGAGGGAGTGCTGTCCCCTGGCCCTTGGAGAGAGATTGCCAGCCCACCATTTCAGGTTGCATGCTTCACAGGAAGAGGGAGCTGACTGTAGTACAAGACAACCTACAAGTTGTGTTAAGTAGAGTTTCTCATGAGGCCTTCTGGGAGGTTCCAGAACCCATTCTCTAAACCTTCTGATTGAGATGAGAAAGAGGGAAGAAAACCCACATTCAAACTGTATGTGTGTGTGTGTCTCCATGGGGAAATTCACGCATATTGGATTAGAATAGAAAGAATAGAGTGGTCTGGAAAGGTGAGGGGATGAATAGAAGGCCCACCAGATAGACGGACAGTTAGGGCAAAAATATAGAGATAGGAAGGAAAGTTCTCTGGGGTCAGACACAAAGCCTAGCTCACAAAGCAGGGATTCAACTCATAAAAGGGCCCCCAAGATTTGACTCTTCTTGCAATCAGGAGCTTAGGAAAAATCCTGTTTGTTTTGGGGAGCTCAGGTTCTGCACCAGACATAAGCCATGCTCCTTCCCACCAGCCACGCTGAGGACTTCTACTCTGCACAAAGCCCTCTCCAGGGGCTCAGGAGTAATTTCAGGCCACAGGGACTCCCCTGGTCCCCTGTTGCTGTCACCTTCCCCACGTCTGACTCTGGATCCTGGATATCTCTGTGGCACTTCTCCCTTTAGAAGTTTCCTGAAGATGTTGGTCAAAGCAGAGTGGAGTAGGTGATAGGGAGAGTCTGTTGATTTTACTTTTCCTGATTCCACCTATCTGAGCTAAGCAGTAAAAATTGAGAGGTAGATGAATGTCTTCAGGGGGAACAGCCTGGTCATTAAAACCCTTGCTCTGGGCAGGCAAACGTGTGTGCATCTGGAAATTTTCAAAACTTGGGTTATCACAAGAACTAGAGTAATTTTGGCTATTTTCCATGTATGTAGATGACTTTGAATCTAAATTCACGTTCCATGCTGTGGAAGACTTTCCTCCTCCGGATGAATATAAACCATGCCAGAAGGTTTACCCCAGCAAGATCCCCAGAAGTAAGTACCACCCTGGGAAGCCTCCTGCTTTTTCCCTGACCCTCCAGAATTAAGTGCTTAGTGTTCTTTGATTGGCCACAGGTTGCCTAAAGGCTCACATCATCATTTCATTGTACTACTGCAAGAATACAGTGCTATTCGTACTTCTAGAAATGTCTAAACACTTATTTGTCTTGGCCCCAAGGATTCATTTAGAAGCTTTTAGCTTTTTACAGAACTCCAGAGTTAATTGTTTGACTTTGGATTTAAGTGCCTGGATTTACCACTTGTCCCTCCCCTCCCTAGGGCTTTTGACAAGGGGGCACCCAAGACAACAGCAAAATGGGATACAGGAGCTTTGTATCAATAACCAGAGAATAATAATTTAAAAAAATTCAGGACTCTGGTAGACTATGAAATGGGGAATCTCCTTAGGTCAGTGGTTCTCAACCTTGAAGACACATTAAGATGACCTGCAGAGCTTTGAGAAATCCCAAAGGCCAGGCTTCACCAAGACCAACTAAATCAGAATATACAGGGTGGGACCTATGTGTCAGTATTTCTGAAAGCTTCCAGGTGAGTCCAATGTCCAGCCAAGGCTGAAAAGTCTCAGGCTGGTAAGAGCCTGCCTTCTCCTAACTTCATCATATGGCCTCCAAGTAGAGGCCTTCCCTCTGCTTCTCTGTTTAGCCCTAAGAGTGGAAGAAGAGGCTGGTGTATCCCTCAGGAGGCAGGGAGGCAAGTCTTAGGCAAACAGGGGGGCACCTAGGTGGTTCAGTTGGTTAAGCGTCTACCTTCAGCTCAGGTCATGATCTCAGGGTCCTGGGATCGGGTGTCACGTTGGGATCCTTGCTCAGTGGAGAGCCTGCTTCTCCCACTCCCTCTGCCTGCTGTTCCCCCTGGTGGTCCTCTCTCTCTTTCTCTGTCAAATAAATAAATCTTAAAAAAAAAAAAAAAGGAAACAAAGAAAAGCAAGGTGGGGTGTTAACCACACAGCCATGCCACCTGTTAGTCCACATGAGCGGGTTCTGGTCCAGTACTGAGCCAGGCCATTTGGGCAGGAGCTGGTAGGAGGGACAAGAGTCAACAACACCAAGTAAGGGTGTTTCCCATCCTACGACATAAGTAAAGCCCCCAGCACCAGACATCTATGGACTAGCATGGAAAATCAGGGGACAGCCCGGTGGCTCAGCAGTTTAACGCCACCTTCAGCCGAGGGTGATCCTGGAGATCCAGGATCCAGTCCCACATTGGGCTCCCTGCATGGAGCCTTCTTCTCCCTCTGCCTGTGTCTCTGCCTTTCTCTCTCTCTCTCTCTCTCTCTCTCTCTCTCTCTCTCTCTGTGTGTGTGTGTGTGTGTGTGTCTTCATGAATAAATAAAATCTTTAAAAAAAAAAGAGAAAGAGAAAGAGAAAATCAGTGTCCTGGGATAGCCCAAGACCATGAATTGGACTCTTTGACCCTTTTCCTTCAGAGGGACTCTGACAAAGTCCTTTCTCCAAGGTTCAGCTTCCTGCAGGCAGACCAGAGAGCTTGAGCCTGCTTCCTCCTCAGGTCACAGGTCCTCTTGGAAGCAGCCTGGGCAGGTCTTTGCCTGTGGGCCTGTGGATTGCACATTTAGGAAGAAGTGACCTTGTGTGCTTTTTAAATAATATGTAAAAATTACTGCTCTGAACTAAGAGAGAGAGAGAGAGAGGAAGGAGAGAGGAGCAGCATAAGTGGAGTCAGTATTGTCAGCACTCCTACAAGGCTCATTTCCTTTCCCTAAGCGAGGGTGTGCTAACTGGCCCCCTTCATGCCACAAACCCCACCGTTTTCTGTTACCCAGACAGTAACACAGGAATGCGACACCTGGCCCCAGGAGGCTTTTCAGTTACTGACCCCTACCCTAAGCCAGAGGTCAGCCAACATTTTCTCCATAGGGCCAGAAATGACATGCTTGACGCTCTGCAGGCCACATGGTCTGGGTCACAACTTCCAGTTGTGCTGTTTTGAGCTGCAAGGAGCCACGGACAGTACATAAATGAATGAACATGGCTGTCTTCCAATAAAACTTTATTTATAAAAACAGGTGCTGGCTGGATTTGATCTGCTGGCCATAATTTTGCTGATCTCTGCACTAAACCATTCCAGAAAAGCAGATTCTTCAAAACCTCACTTCTTTCTCAGTAGTGTGCTAGGCAGTCCTTCCACCTTCAGACTCAGTCGCTTCTAAAGTTAGCTGCACTTTGAGGCCCCGGCACCCAGTCTCCTCCAGAAGGGAAGAGAGGCTGTGCCTCCCACCGCTCACTGGCCAGGAGGGTGCAGTTGGCCATCTCTGCTGTATTCCTCTCATCTCAGAGAAATGGTCAAATCAGTCCCCCCCCCCACACACACATACACACAAATAATCAGATGCTCTCGGGATGATGCAGTTAAAAAGAAAAAGAAAACCTGCTAAGTGAACTGACATCCTACAGACCAGAAAGGGTATTTACGATTTCAAAAATAAAATGTGGTTTCATTTATTTATTTTATTTTTAATTTATTTTTTTACACTTTTTTTTTAACTTTTGAATTTGGAATGATTTCAGACTTACACAAAAGTTACAAGAGTATTACACATAAATGTGGTTTTAGATCCACGCGGCATTGGCAGGCATAAAATCCTCCAGTGGTTTCCTAGCACAATTACGCGAGCACATTCCTGCCGCCCCTGTGAGCCGCAGGGTACAACCTTGGTAATTCTATTAGTGTGAGTCTGATACAGTTCATGCCTGTCTGATTCCATTTCTTCTTACAGTTTTTCTCCTGCTCCCCATTGACCTGGTTCCCCAAGAGTGGTGTTCTTCATGGTCTGGGAGACAGTGCTGGTTCTGTGGGATGAGCACGTCCTCACAGTCATCAGTTCTGGCTTTGTCTCCTCCCGCCTGCTCGCTTTCCTTCTGTGCTCCTGACACACACACAGCACACAAATACCCTAATGCTTTGCTTTTCCACTCGTCTCTTCACCATCTCCACCAGGTAGTAGCTATTTTCTTTCTTTGATAGGATGACCTGACCTAATTTTTTTTTAATGTTTTAAACATGCATTAGGTTCCCCAATGAGTCAATCATAGAATTACCATATGACCCAGCAATTCCACTCTTGGGTGTATGCCGAAAAGAATGGTAAATAGAGGTTCAAACAAGAGCTCACACTGCACTCTTCACAACAGCCGAAAGGTAGAAACATCCCAGTGCCCATCAGATGATGAATGGATAAACAAAATGTATATCCATGCAATGGAATATTCTTTGACAGCAAAAGGGAATGAGGTGTGGATACGTGCTACAGCGTGGGTGAGCCTAGAAAACATCATGATGAGTGACACATGCAGACACAAAAGGCCACATGTTGTAGGATTCCATTTACGTGATATAGCCAAAACAGACAAATCCTTGGAGACAGGAAGTCAGTTTAGCACTAGTTGGGCTGGGGAGACAAAGAATGAGGAGTGGGTGCTAATCGGTGTTGGTGTCTTTTTGGGGTGATAAATATGTTCTGAAACTAGACAGAGGGGATGGTTGCACAACACCAGTGGTATTCAAGGCCACTAGGGGTAAATTTTATGTTGTGTGCATTGTGCTGTTACAATAAAAAGAAAGTAGGGGGGAAAGAAAAAGAAAGTAGGGGGAAATATCTCATCAGCAGGAATCTTTGGGAAAAATTGCATAGGTCACAAATATTTACTTACATAGTGATGGTAAAAAGAGTGCAGTGATCATCATATTGAAAGATGCTTACTGAGGCTCTTACCCACTGGAGAGTTGTAGTTAAATGATCCCCCGACACGCCCTCAAGAAATTCACATTTTGGTGGCGAAAGGGAGGAGGGACAGACACCCAAACACAACATTTCAGTCTGGTGTTCCCAGCAAAACCATCCTGATCACGTTCAGTGGCAAAGTTTGTCTGTTTATGACACAACGCTCCCCCGCACCCACATTGTGGCTTAAAAATACATAACATGAAGTTCTCCAGCTTAACCATTTTTAAGTGTACGATTCAATAGTGTTAAGTACCTCCACACTGTTGTGCAGCCAATCTCCAGAACTCCTTTCACCCACCAGAACTGAAGCTCTGTACCCATTAAACCCATTAAAATGGCAACCACCATGCTACTGTTCTAAGAGTTTGACTATTCTTATACCCTGTATAAGTGGAATCATATAATATTTGACTTTTTGAGACTGGCTTTCTCTCATTTAGTGTAATGTCCTCAAGGTTATTCAGTTCATAGCATGTGTCAGAATTTTCTTCCTTTCTAAGGCTGACTTATAATCCATTGTATGTATGTATAACATTGTGGTGATCCATTCATCCATCAGTGGCCACTTGGGTTGACTCCATGGTTGGCTATTGTGAATAATGCCACTATGAACATGGGTATACAAATATCTCTGTGTCCCTGCTTTCAGGTCTTTTGTGTGTATACCCAGAAATGGAATTGCTGGATCATATGGTAATTCTATTCTAATTATCGGAGGAACAACCATACTGTTTTACGTTTTACACTCCCACCATTTTACATTCCCATCAACAGCACACAAGGGTTTCTCCACATCCTCCGTAACACTTGTTACTCTCTTTTTTAATAGTAACCATCCTAGTAGGTGTGCAGTAGTATCTCGTTGTAGTACAATTCCTATTTTAAAATAGTGACTTTGCACTTACAGTGAAACTAGCCTCAATTATTTCCATTAGCAAAGTAACTTCACCAAGTGCTGCAATAACTTCAATGGTACCAGGTGGATCATGTCATGAAATCAAAGGATCAGGTGCACATGGGTGGCTCAATGGTTGAGCGTCTGCCTTTGGCTCAGGTTGTGATTCCGCGGTGCTGGGATCGAGTCCCTCATCGGGCTCCCTGCAGTGAGCCTGCTTCTCCCTCTGCCTGTATCTCTGCTTCTCTCTCTGTCTCTCATGAATAAATAAATAAAATCTTTAAAAAAAAAAGAAGAAGGAAGGAAGGAAGGAAGGAAGGAAGGAAGGAAGGAAGGAAGGAAGAAAGATAGATCAAAGGATCGTCTATCCCAAGACTGAGAGAATCCATAGACACTTGCCAGTGGCTGAGCATTTATCTCCACCTTTGTGGAGGGCAGTAGGGCAGTAAGGACCTCCACCCTGTACTTACTGTAGCCGTTCTCCTTCATAAACTGTCTTCCAGCATCCCACTCTCTAACCACTTTTCCTGTCCTTCTAGATTACTCCTTTATTCCTCCGAGCCACCAAAGGTGCTGTCATGTCTATAAAACACCTCCCTTGACCTAGTCTGGCCATTTCTCCACTGCTCTCACAGCCAGTGCCATCTGCATTCTGAGTAACTCTTACCCCTGGCCACCCACTTCTAGCAACAATGAAGTTCCTTTTACAGCAAAATACAACATTTTCCTTCCTGTTTTATGAAGAAATTGATTCTCCTTTAGCTCTGTTGTTGTATCCAGTCGTATTTATGAAAACTAGTGGCCACTACTTTCTTACAGAGAAACCCATCTTGCTGCCCAGTGGTTCTCCAAAGGGAGGATTTTGCCCCCCATGGGACATGTGGTACTGTCTGGAGACATTTTTTGTTATTACAAATGCCAGGTTTGGCATCCAGTGGGTAGACTAGGGCTGCTGTCAGACAGGCCACCCCCACCACAAAGAGTTATCCAGCCCCAAATGTCAATAGAACCAAGTTGGGAAACCCTGGTCCAAAGGAAGGTTCTTCTGTTGTAGACTGGAGTTTCTTAAATCTAAGAAGTAATTTTAAAGTCATTTGCCACATGGAATTAGGTCAGGGACTGTATATCAGTGTCTTTTTATTTTTAACCTAGTTAATAAACTGGCTAAAAATCTAGCAGTCCCTATGTCATTTGCCCCAAAATATCTTTATCCTAGAACAAGTGCACTCATTAATTTAAAAAGTATCTTAATGAAAATTTCAGTGTCCTTGGATTAATGTTTTATAAGTTGTAGAGACCCTTCCAGTGCTAGTTCATTTTAAAAACTGTATCTTGGGGGGATCCCTGGGTGGCGCAGTGGTTTGGCGCCTGCCTTTGCCCCAGAGCGCGATCCTGGAGACCCAGGATCGAATCCCACATTGGGCTCCCGGTGCATGGAGCCTGCTTCTCCCTCTGCCTGTGTCTCTGTCTCTCTCTCTCTCTCTCTCTCTCTATCATAAATAAAAAAAATAAAAATAAATAAATTTAAAAAAACTGTATCTTGGGGATCCCTGGCTGGCTCAGCGGCTTGGCGCCTGCCTTTGGCCCAGGGCGCAATCCTGGAGTCCCATGTCGGGCTCCCGGCATGGAGCCTGCTTCTCCCTCTTCCTGTGTCTCTGCCTCTCTCTTACTCTCTGTGTCTATCATAAATAAAAATAAATAAATCTTTAAAAAAAATAAAGTAAAAAATAAACACTGTATCTTAGGGATGCCTGGGCGGCTCAGCAGTTGAATGTCTGCCTTTGGCTCAGGGTGTGATCCTGGGTCTCACATCGGGCTCCCTGAATGGAGCCTGCTTCTCCGTCTGCCTATGTCTCTGCCTCTCTCTGTGTGTCTCTCATGAATAAATAAATAAAATCTTTAAAAATAATAAAAAAATAAAAACTGTATCTTACCTTACAGATTCTCCAGATGGACTTGCATGTTCATTGTAGAAAACTTAAAAAGTATTTTTAAGAGATTTAAAAAAAGCAGTAAACCCAGGTAGAATCAATTCAATATATTATTTCCATTTAAAAAAAAATATTTGAGGTGATCCTATTTATACAATTTCTAGCCTGTTTTTTCTCCTAAATTTCAAACATTACCCCAGATTATTTTGTTTTATAAACATTCAAAAGGCCACTTTAGGGACGCCTGGGTGGCTCAGTGGTTGAGCATCTGCCTTTGGCTCAGGGCATGATCCTGGGGTCCTGGGATCGAGTCCTGTATCGGGCTCCCTGCAGGAGCCTGCATCTCCCTCTGCCTATGTCTCTGCCTCTCTCTGTGTCTTTCATGAGTAAATAAAATCTTTTTATTAAAAAAAAAGAGGCCACTTCATATTCCATCATATGGTAGTGAACCCTGCATTTCCTAAATAGTTTTATTGAACACAGGGTATTATCAGTTTTTTACTATCATAAATGATCTGAATGAGTAGTTCTGCTTTTCATGCTGTTTTGTAAGGAAGATAGCAGCCTGGATTGTCTGGAGGGCTTTGGGTTGTGGTTATTTAATTCCCTGTCTGGGGGAATTAGTCGATTCCCTGGGTGGCTCAGTCGATTAAGCATCTGCCTTTAGCTCAGGTCATGATCTCCAGGTCCTGGGATCAAGTCCTGAATCAAGGTGGGACTCTGCTTCTCCTTCTTCCCTTTGCCTCTCTCCCGACTCTCTCTCTCTCTCTCTCTTGCTTGCTTGCTCACTCTCAAATAAATAAAATCTTTAATAATAATGATAATAATTTCTGGTCTGTGACAGAGGCAGAACAGAAAAGCCTTGTGTTGCATGCAGCAGAGAAAGAGCCACTCAGGGACACCATTCAGATCACCGGATTCAGAGAAAAGTTCTGGAGGGCCTGGGAATGTGGATTTAAAACTTGGCTAGACCAACCAAATCATACAGATGTACACATACACACACATACATAAGTAAATGCCAAACTAAAACATCTGGAGAGATAACCAGTAAGCTTCGAGTAGCGGTGGTAACTCTGAGATAGAAACTGGGATTAGGCCAAGAAGAGGCACTTGAGGTTGTTTTGCGTTTTTACTTCCTATTGTCTTCCTCTATATTCTTTCAACCCTTCATTCTGAGAAGATATGTATATGTAACTTGTGTAATATTTAAACAAAATACATTTTAGAAGATGAGTTGGATCCTCCTAGAACAGAGCTTGATTTATTCAGCATATATTTTACCCTTTCCTCCTCTTTTTAGTCGACCCTAGCACCGCACGTGGCACATTTGGGGCACTGGACAGATGAGCGAGTCTGGAGACGGTGGCTTGTTCTGAGCTAAGACGCTTTTCTGGGCCTTTATTTATTTCTTTATTTTAAAGATTTTATTTATTTATTTATTTATTTATTTATTTATTTATTTATTTAGAGACACAGAGAAAGAGAGAGGCAGAGAGGCAGGCAGAGGGAGAAGCAGGCTCCATGCAGGGAGCCCGAGGTGAGACTTGATCCCAAGACCCCGGGATCACACCCTGGGCTGAAGGCTCAACTGGCAAGCCACCGGGGTGTCCCTCTCCCGGGCCTGTAGACAACAGGCCTTGATAAGCTGCCCCCATCTAGCAGATCGGACGAGCTGCCTCCTTGTCCTGTTGTGGAAGCAGTGTGTGGACGCACCCAGCCTGGGGCCGGGAGCCTCAGGGTTTCGGGTTGACCAGCTCATGTACCCCGGTCCCCTTGCCGTCGCCCTACGTGCTGCTTTGCTCGGAGCTGCTCGCGGGGCACACAGCGGTCCCTGGGCCACCAGGTGCTGAGAGCTTCCCTGTTCCTTGCAGGCCGCACGCCGGGTCCCTGGCTTCATGCGGAGGCGGCGGGGCAGAGCCCGGATGACATCAGGGGCAGGAATTCTCAGGTAAGGCCCCCCTCGGGTCGCACAGAGCCCGAGCGGGCCTTGTCCTTGAAGCCGCAGGTCTGGCACAGATTCTTTCGTCCTCAGGGAAAGCCGTCAGTGGGGGGGGACCCTTGGTTCCAGCTACAAGGCAACGCGTACAGTTCCAAACTCCGAGGAGGTAAAGGGAGGGGGCTCCCCCCAGAATCCTCCCCCCACCCAGAAGCAAGGCTGCCCACCCAGAACCCCTTTAGATTCTTTGCATAACCCATTAGCTCCCCATTCATTCTTCCCCAGTTACGAGGGCTTGAGAGGCCGCAGACAAAACTCCATAACGTGTATTAGATGTGATTCAAGTACAGGGTATCTTACTGCACCCATGGGTGGGGGGTTTCTCCCATCAACGTGAGGATTTCTTTTGACCAAATTTAGTCACAATGCAAGTTGCAAGTCGCAGTGGCCAGAGGAAGCTGGGAGGGGACCCTGGTGGGTTCCTGTGGGATGAGACAGTCTTTGAAAAAAATGCCCTCCTTCTCCCACCAGGCAGCTCAGACAGACCGTGTCCTCACCTGGGCAGAGCTGCGGTCTCTCTGCCCACGACCAGGGTCTCCTCTCGAAAGGCCCTTTGTTTCTTTGAAAACACGCATTTAGTCCTGCCCCGGCCTCCTCCTGCTTCAGAGGTCTGAGTGGCAAAGGGGGTGGCCTGCTGGCCAACGGGGCCCTGCTGCCGCCACATGGGATGGCACAGCAAGGGACGTGAGTGGGGGGACGAGGCCCTGGACGCGGGAGGAGTTCCTGGCAGGAGGGCAAGGCCAATCTAGGAATTAGGATAACCGCTCCGAGGATCCCAGCCTCAAAGCTGGGTGTAGGATTGCAGGAAAGGCAAAAGAAAACCGAATATACACAAAATTCACAGGCATCCGCCCTGGGAGATGACGGTTGATTTTTTTACTCTTCTTCGTAGCACATTTCTGCAATTTCTGAATTTCTACAGTGAATACATTACTCCTGTGGTCAGGAAAACACAGTAATAATCAAAATAATAGTCTCTACATCATACACTTCTTTACATGTTTTCAGATAACTTGCACCCATGATCTCGTTTGATCCTTTCAGTAACTCTGTGATGTAACCTGGAGAGATACCCTTAATGACCTTTTTTTCAGTCAAGAAAACTGAGCTCCAAGGGGTTAAGGAACTTGCCCAAGGTCACATGCCCCAGACTTTTGACTCCTTGTCCAGTGCTCCTTTCACTATACCTCTTTGCCTTTCCTGGCATGTTCATATTGCTAGGACAGGAGTCATCCTTCCCTTCAGAAGTGGCAAGAATGGTCGAACAATGCGCCACATCTGGTCTCTGACCTCACAGCAGGCACACACCTAAATCACTGGAGCCCATAAAAGTCTAGTCAAGGGTGGATTGTAAGATCTCTCTTGGGCGTCCCATAGTCGAGAAGATCTTCTTTACATCTAGCTGGTCACCGTCTTCAGGGAGACGAAAAGCATTTGCCCAGAGCAATCACAGGGTTCTAGACATAGCAAACTGCCCCCAGGGGGACACTCTTCATTTATGGCTAAGATCCCCAAGTGGTCTGGGCCCGGGTGAGAGTCCTGGGCTGGAGATCTAAAGGCCTGGGGCTCTCCAGCAAATGGTTTTTCTAGAGTTTCTATCAAGTGCTGGTATTTGGTCTCAAAAATGTTTATAAGATGGCATTAGGTCTTCAGATGCCATCAATTCTAATATCCCATTTCATCCCTTTACCACCCACAAGCCCCTGGGTCAAAATCAGCCCCTTGCATCTGATGGGACCCCCAGGCCTTGGCTGCCATGTACAAATGCAGGAAGGCTTTGGTGCCCAGCCCCAGGGAGGGTTGTTTGTGTGTGAAGAGTCTTCTAAACCCGCTTGGTAATGTTATTGTGTTTCTGCAGTTATCTCTAAAGACACTCCGGTGAGAAGACAGATGAAGCCAATGCCCTGTGAGCCACCTGGGCCTCCGTGTCGCTAGATGGGCATCCCCTGGAGAACATGTCTGTCCACGTCATACTTAAATTGTAACTCAGATGACATACAAGCTCTGAGTGGAGCATTTATTTATTGTAAATATGTGGTTTGCACAGGCTTTAAATCAGTATGATAGTCGACTTTTACTTGCGTAATTTAAAAAACCACAAACATTGTTTCTCCATTTTTTTAAGATGCATCTTGTCATTCATCTGTCATGACAGAGAGAGCCCTGTCCCCACCCCATGGTGTTCCATTCCATGAGTGTAAATATGTGTGCGGGCTGGCCTTTCCTAGATTCTGAACTGTGTTTAGAAGATTCCTTAGTTTCCAAGTAGTCCCAAAGTCATAGTATCCACAGCCGCTTCTTATTGGCATGATTCTATAGTCTCATTGCACCAACTGCAAAGTCAAACCAAATAATGCCTTATAAATGATGCAGCTCAGAGAGAGTAGCATATCCCCACACCCAGACAATGCCACACAGCCTCCAGTGAACGAGATGCCATGTCTCGCTTCCGTTTTGCACACCAGGGATGATTTTTTTTTTTTTTTTTGCTGCCTAATGTAAATATAACGCAAAATAAAGGCAGGAGTGGGCTTGGCCCCCCCAATGCCAACCACAGGGCCCTTTTGTAACCGAATGATCCTACAAGTAGCCAATGTTCTTACTGTTTACAGTCCCCTATGCCTACCTTCCCATGGCTCTCCTCCTGTCCTGCTAAGTTCTTACGCCCCATCCTGGCAGCCAGGGTAAAGCAAGATTTATGAGATTTTGGGTATTTTTTCTGCAAGTTAGAAACATACATAATTACAGTAAAGTACAAATTCTATCTCAGAGATTTTTTTTTCTCCCCGAGAGCAGGATTTTCATGGAAAATATGACATGAGTACGTGTAGATTGAAGCATATTAGCAAGTATCTGCCTCACATACCCGGTGCCTCACTCTCACCCTTAGAAACCCTGGAAGCACCCACCAGGCAAACTAGCTCCCTTCTGAGCTCAAGAGGACCTGACTGGTCTGAAAGCTCCCCCTTCCCTGTGGGGGCACACTTCTCTGTCGGGGAGAAGCGCACAAGTCCAGACACCCCTGAATATGGACTTGGTCAGGATGGGCTCTGACTGCTACGCTCACACTCTTTTTCTCAAGCTGGCAAGGAAATGGAAGTGTGGTTTTGCTTGCAACGGAACCCAAATGCTCCCCATCCTTGGAGGGGAGGCTGTCACGGAGGAAGGAGATAAAATAGAAGCAAACAGACTGAACCCCAGGTCTGTGCTCAAAATAGATACAGATTAAAGGAAATGGGAGGGGGATGGGAAGAGCAGTGGAAAGGAAGTGTCCCCTGGAACCACTCACTCATGTGCTCAGACCTCAAGGACACCGTGTCCAGACCACACCAGCCAAAAAAGGTAGCGGGTCAGGAGGGATTGGGCAAATGTGACTGCTTGCACTTTGCTGTTGTCTAAAGACTAGGATGGCATCCTGCATCCTTGTTGTGCTTTCTCATCCCAGAGAGAAGCAAGTGAGCAAGGTCAAGTGCCCTTCTCTGGGGAATCAATCATGCCAAATTATAACCGCTTAAATCAATTGGAAAAGAAGCTTTTGCAGGTCATCAGCTCGGGGCATAGCCGATTTGTTTTATCGCTTCTGGAGGGTTTCCAAAAGGTCAGGATTTCTTTAGTGTAACGGGATCCACTCCATCTCCCTCCCACTTGTATAAAAATAATTACAAGGGCTTTAATTATCATGATGAAGAAGGCCCAAGACAAAGGCAAGTCCACCTTCAGAGGAGACTGGCTGCCCTGATGAGGCGTTTCTACATTCACGTTCTGCATCACTGGAAGAGAAATCAAAAATAAAACTGTCAAGGACAGGGGGAAGGGATGAAAAGAGAAACCAAAAATTGCAACTAGGGAGAAATCTCAGGAATCTGGCATCACGTCACTCCTCGAGACCTGTCACTGAATCCACGCCCTTCACCCTCCTGCCTCTGGCAGGACCCACCTGTAGCCCCTTGACCATAAACTCACGCAGAGGCACCGAGTTACAGCGCTCTTACCACCCTCGAGTCTTCTCACGGACACTGTCGTCTGTGGCTCCCCCGTGTTTCATATGTATTTTATATTTATTGATGTGCCCTCCGCAGACTCATTTCTTTGTATCTAATAAACTTTAATAAGTGGAAATGCTTCTTCCCGTGTCCTTGTTAGAACCCATCGATGGTCACCAGTACCGATCTAAGCCAATCATTTTTCAGGGTTAGAAGGGCTTCTCAGGATGATGGGACACAAGGGATCCTCACACAGGACCCAACGCTTGCAGTGACATACTGTGTTCAACACGGGGCGTTTCTTTTCTGAGCTGACATTTCTAACTAACCTGCATAATGTTTTCCTGGTGTTTTGTAGGTAACCTGAACTGATGCGTGTCTGGCAAAAATAACCAAAGGAAGATTTTTCTGAGATGCATTTTCTTTCTTTTTTTTTTTTTTTTTTTTATAAATTAATTTTTATTGGTGTTCAATTTACCAACATACAGAATAACACCCAGTGCTCATCCCGTCAAGTGTCCCCCTCCGTGCCCGTCACCCATTCACCCCCACCCCCCGCCCTCCTCCCCTTCCACCACCCCTAGTTCATTTCCCAGAGTTAGAAGTCTTTATGTTCTGTGTCCCTTTCTGATATCTCCCACACATTTCTTCTCCCTTCCCTTATATTCCCCTTCACTATTATTCATATTCCCCAAATGAGTGAGAACATACACTGTTTGTCCTTCTCCGATTGACTTACTTCACTCAGCATAATACCCTCCAGTTCCATCCACGTTGAAGCAAATGGTGGGTATTTGTTGTTTCTAATGGCTGAGTAATATTCCATTGTATACATAAACCACATCTTCTTTATCCATTCATCTTTCGATGGGCACCGAGGCTCCTTCCACAGTTTGGCTATTGTGGACATGGCTGCTAGAAACATCGGGGTGCAGGTGCCCCGGCGTTTCATTGCATCTGAATCTTCGGGGTAAATCCCTAACAGTGCAATTGCTGGGTCGTAGGGCAGGTCTATTTTTAATTCTTTGAGGAACCTCCACACAGTTTTCCAGAGTGGCTGCACCAGTTCACATTCCCACCAACAGTGTAAGAGGGTTCCCTTTTCTCCGCATCCTCTCCAACATTTGTTGTTTCCTGCCTTATTAATTTTCCCCATTCTCACTGGTGTGAGGTGGTATCTCATTGTGGTTTTGATTTGTATTTCCCTGATGGCAAGTGATGCAGAGCATTTTCTCATGTGCATGTTGGCCATGTCTATGTCTTCCTCTGTGAGATTTCTCTTCATGTCTTTTGCCCATTTCATGATTGGATTGTTTGTTTCTTTGGTGTTGAGTTTAATAAGTTCTTTATAGATTTTGGAAACTAGCCCTTTATCTGATATGTTATTTGCAAATATCTTCTCCCATTCTGTAGGTTGTCTTTGAGTTTTGTTGACTGTATCCTTTGCTGTGCAAAAGCTTCTTATCTTGATGAAGTCCCAATAGTTCATTTTTGCTTTTGTTTCTTTTGTTTTCGTGGATGTATCTTGCAAGAAGTTACTGTGGCCAAGTTCAAAAAGGGTGTTGCCTGTGTTCTCCTCTAGGATTTTGATGGAGTCTTGTCTCACATTTAAATCTTTCATCCATTTTGAGTTTATCTTTGTGTATGGTGCAAGAGAGTGGTCTAGTTTCATTCTTCTGCATGTGGATGACCAATTTTCCCAGCACCATTTATTGAAGAGACTGTCTTTCTTCCAGTGGATCGTCTTTCCTCCTTTGTCGAATATTAGTTGACCATAAAGTTCAGGGTCCATTTCTGGATTCTCTATTCTGTTCCATTGGTCTATGTGTCTGTTTTTGTGCCAGTACCACACTGTCTTGATGACCACAGCTTTGTAGTACAACCTGAAATCTGGCATTGTGATGCCCCCAGCTATGGTTTTCTTTTTTAAAATTCCCCTGGCTATTCGGGGTCTTTTCTGATTCCACACAAATCTTAAAATAATTTGTTCTAAGTCTCTGAAGAAAGTCCATGGTATTTTGATAGGGATTGCATTGAACGTGTAAATTGCCCTGGGTAGCATTGACATTTTCACAATATTAATTCTGCCAATCCATGAGCATGGAATATTTTTCCATCTCTTTGTGTCTTCCTCAATTTCTTTCAGAAGTGTTCTATAGTTTTTAGGGTATAGATCCTTTACCTCTTTGGTTAGGTTTATTCCTAGGTATCTTATGCTTTTGGGTGCAATTGTAAATGGGATTGACTCCTTAATTTCTCTTTCTTCAGTCTCATTGTTAGTGTATAGGAATGCCATTGATTTCTGGGCATTGATTTTGTATCCTGCCACGCTACCAAATTGCTGTATGAGTTCTAGCAATCTTGGGGTGGAGGCTTTTGGGTTTTCTATGTAGAGTATCATGTCATCGGCGAAGAGGGAGAGTTTGACTTCTTCTTTGCCAATTTGAATGCCTTTAATGTCTTTTTGTTGTCTGATTGCTGAGGCTAGGACTTCCAATACTATGTTGAATAGCAGTGGTGAGAGTGGACATCCCTGTCTGGTTCCTGATCTTAGGGGAAAGGCTCCCAGTGCTTCCCCATTGAGAATGATATTTGCTGTGGGCTTTTCGTAGATGGCTTTTAAGATATCGAGGAAAGTTCCCTCTATCCCTACACTCTGAAGGGTTTTGATCAGGAATGGATGCTGTATTTTGTCAAATGCTTTCTCTGCATCTAATGAGAGGATCATATGGTTCTTGGTTTTTCTCTTGCTGATATGATGAATCACATTGATTGTTTTACGAGTGTTGAACCAGCCTTGCATCCCGGGGATAAATCCTACTTGGTCATGGTGAATAATTTTCTTAATGTGTTGTTGGATCCTATTGGCTAGTATCTTGTTGAGAATTTTTGCATCCATGTTCATCAGGGATATTGGTCTGTAATTCTCCTTTTTGGTGGGGTCTTTGTCTGGTTTTGGAATTAAGGTGATGCTGGCCTCATAGAATGAGTTTGGAAGTACTCCATCTCTTTCTATCTTTCCAAACAGCTTTAGTAGAATAGGTATGATTTCTTCTTTAAACGTTTGATAGAATTCCCCTGGGAAGCCATCTGGCCCTGGACTCTTGTGTCTTGGGAGGTTTTTGATGACTGCTTCAATTTCCTCCCTGGTTATTGGCCTGTTCAGGTTTTCTATTTCTTCCTGCTCCAGTTTTGGTAGTTTGTGGCTTTCCAGGAATGCGTCCATTTCTTCTAGATTGCCTAATTTATTGGCGTAGAGCTGTTCATAATATGTTTTTAAAATCGTTTGTATTTCCTTGGTGTTGGTAGTGATCTCTCCTTTCTCATTCATGATTTTATTAATTTGAGTCTTCTCTCTCTTCTTTTTAATAAGGTTGGCTAATGGTTTATCTATCTTATTAATTCTTTCAAAGAACCAACTCCTGGTTCTATTGATCTGTTCCACAGTTCTTCTGGTCTCAATTTCGTTGAGTTCTGCTCGAATTTTAATTAACTCTCTTCTTCTGCTGGGCGTCGGGTCGATTTGCTGCTTCTTCTCTAGCTCCTTTATGTGTAAGGTTAGCTTTTGTATTTGAGTTCTTTCCAGTTTTTGAATGGATGCTTGTATTGCGATGTATTTCCCCCTCAGGACTGCTTTTGCTGCATCCCAAAGATTTTGAACAGTTGTATCTTCATTCTCATTAGTTTCCATGAATCTTTTTAATTCTTCCTTAATTTCCTGGTTGACCCTTTTATCTTTTAGCAGGATGGTCCTTAACCTCCATGTGTTTGAGGTCCTTCCAAACTTCTTCTTGTGATTGAGTTCTAATTTCAAGGCGTTATGGTCTGAGAATATGCAGGGGACGATCCCAATCTTTTGGTATCGGTTCAGACCCGATTTGTGACCCAGTATGTGGTCTATTCTGGAAAAAGTTCCATGTGCACTTGAGAAGAATGTGTATTCAGTTGAGTTTGGATGTAAAGTTCTGTAGATATCTGTGAAATCTATCTGGTCCAGTGTATCATTTAAAGCTCTCGTTTCTTTGGAGATGTTGTGTTTAGAAGACCTATCAAGGGTAGAGAGAGCTAGATTGAAGTCACCAAGTATAAGTGTATTATTATCTAAGTATTTCTTTACTTTGGTTAATAATTCGTTTAAGTATTTGGCAGCTCCCACATTCGGGGCATATATATTGAGGATTGTTAAGTCCTCTTGTTGGATAGATCCTTTAAGTATGATATAGTGTCCCTCTTCGTCTCTCACTACTGTCTTCGGAGTGAATTTTAGTTTATCTGATACAAGGATGGCTACCCCTGCTTTCTTTTGAGAACCATTTGAATGGTAAATGGTTCTCCAACCTTTTATTTTCAGGTTGTAGGTGTCCTTCTGTCTAAAATGAGTCTCTTGTAGACAGCAAATAGATGGGTCCTGCTTTTTTATCCAGTCTGAAACCCTGCGCCTTTTGATGGGGTCATTAAGCCCGTTCACGTTCAGAGTTACTATTGACAGATATGAGTTTAGTGTCATCATGATATCTATTTAGTCCTTGTTTTTGTGGATTGTTCCACTGAACTTCTTCTTAAAGGGGAATTTTAAGAGTCCCCCTTAAAATTTCTTGCAGAGCTGGTTTGGAGGTCACATATTCTTTCAGTTCCTGCCTGTCTTGGAAGCTCTTTATCTCTCCTTCCATTTTGAATGAGAGCCTTGCTGGATAAAGTATTCTTGGTTGCATGTTCTTCTCATTTAGGACCCTGAATATATCCTGCCAGCCCTTTCTGGCCTGCCAGGTCTCTGTGGAGAGGTCTGCTGTTACCCTAATATTCCTCCCCATGAAAGTCAGGGACTTCTTGTCTCTTGCTGCTTTAAGGATCTTCTCTTTATCTTTGGAATTTGCAAGCTTCACTATTAGATGTCGAGGTGTTGAACGGTTTTTATTGATTTTAGGGGGGGATCTCTCTATTTCCTGGATCTGAATGCCTGTTTCCCTTCCCAGATTGGGAAAGTTTTCAGCTAGGATTTGTTCAAATACATATTCTGGCCCTCTGTCCCTTTCGGCGCCCTCGGGAACCCCAATTAAACGTAGATTTTTCTTCCTTAGAGTGTCATTTATTTCCCTTAATCTGTCTTCATGGTTCTTTAATTGTTTATCTCTTTTT